GTGTGGGGCACGAAAATTATGGGCGGGGTCTGCTCTGAGGTGGGCGGAGTCAGACGAAGAATCTGTAAAATAGCTCAAGAGTACTTCAGACACCGGAGAAAAGTGGAGTACAGAACAAAAGGCGGATATCAGTTGAGTCTAGAAATATGTGAGAGAAGGTACGCGCGGCGAAGCCGCGCCCGCCCGGCGCAGCCGGGCCGTATCAGAAGGAGCCGCGCCGGCGTCAGCCGGCGAGGCGACTGGTTATATATAGCTGATCAAAATTGCTTCCCACTGGAATAAACTTAATTCGAAAAAAAGTTTGAAAGTGTCCACGAACTTTTGGGACAACCTAATAAAATGCTCCAGAGTTGCGCGCAGTACGGCGGTCCGCAATGAGTTAAACCCATTACCTAACCAAACACACATCTAACTGCTGTCCCGTTATTGTGAGGAAGAGCCTGGAATCGTGGAGCACTTGTCAGAGCCCTTTTGACCCTCTCGTGGGGAAGAGGTGAACGTTGTGGAGAACCCGATTTCTGTTTGAAGGCATTCCCCGCGCTCAAGCCATTCGTAGGCGTCCTCCCTTGAACAAGTGGTCTGACTTCAGAATCTACTACTATCCCACTTTCGCGGCGCCATAGTAAGTAACGGAGGCGATGCGGCCCATAACCTCCCTAGCTGTCTCGCCCACCAGAACATAAGAGCAGGTGCTGTCCCGAATTCAGTTTTTACACCGTGTTTTTCCTTTTTTTCTCTGTCTTATGGCAGAAGCACTGGATGACGCGAAGAATTGATAAGTAAGTCAGAGGTATCAGGATATCGCTTTTCTGACACGACAAGAGCGATTTTGGAAAACTCGCCCAGAATGGCGGTCAGGTTCTTACTTAGGATGTTCTCGACAACTTTTTTTGGCTTTGAGTTCGCGACTATAGGATAGGAATTAAACGTCACTACCCATAGCATTTCACCGGGTCTGTCTTTAATGGGCTCCTGAAGGTCGGTAAAGAACAGTCAATTTCATTTTTGTTGAGAATTTTCGATCCTGTTAGCAACTTCTTTTCAGAGTGTGGAGCAGTCGATCCCTCTCTGTTCTACAAAGACCTCAAACAGGTGGTGAAGAACTGCCCAGGAAAGCGGAGAATTGCTTTCAACAACCCGGTTGTTGTCACTCAGAAGCACTTCACTCTACTGTGCTCTAATGCTATCTATCTGCAAATGTGTTTCAATATAACTGAGACCGACTACTTGTCCGTAATCTGCCCTCGAGTGCGATCAGTAGCACCCTGTGTTCAAGGTATGTGTATTCAGGATTTCTGAACTGCGTTTGGACTTACTCAGCGGGTACTGAAAAGTTTTCCAACAAACATGTGGAGGAAATGAATATACTGCAGTTTCAATCCATGCTGATTGTATGGGTGGAGGAAGTCAAGTATCGCACTTTTCTGTTGATAAGTCCCTCATTCTGGAGTGGCAGTGATCAGTGACGTACTAGTGAAGAAGGCACAACGGATGACCAGCACCGCTCATGTCTCTGCCACCACCACTTCGCTTTACAATCCTCATCATTGCGGACCGGTGGGGCGTGTCAGTGCGGCTGCGTTTGGCGCGGTGCCAAAGTCGTTCTGCACCAGTTGTTGAAGCGGGCAAGTGACATTACTGTATTATATCCTTCGTATTACTCGTTTTCTACCACTTTTTGTCGCATACGCGTTTCAACAAAAAGGCTGAGAACGGCTTCAACAGTGTGCACACTCATACTGGCTGACACGCCCCACCGGTCCGCAATGATGAGGACTGTAGAAACCTCTGAACAAGAAAGGCAGTCCTTCCGAAGGAGCGCGAAACTCTAGCTTTTGCGCGAAACATAAACTACAGCCATGTACATACCCTTACCATTTATCTACTGAATCTCTGCCTGATACTGTGATTGCCAGATGACACTTGACTCGAAAGAGAAGCCCCGTAAAAGGGCGATCTGAGCCAAGACTCAACGACGGGATTGAGTATATCGGATCGCAGCTTGCTACTTAAATATTATACAGCTCTAATTTTAATAATACTGCTACTGATCTCGCGTCCTTCTCCAATCAATGAGAACGGAAGTAGTTCCAATAGCTGGCTGGATCCTGCTGTCTTGATTTCCCAGTTTTTTTTTATTAAAGGCAATTCCCGCGACCACACTTCATAGGTAATACAGTTCAAAAATAGAATTGCCCTGTGATTGTTGACTTATTGAAGAGAAGGAACCACGAAAAAGCGCCCGCAATAAGACCCTCTTTATTTCAATTGATCATGATCACCGGACGAGCGTAAGGTGGTCAAGATCAATTGTGGATTGCAAAAGGCGGCGAGACACTGATAAGAGACGAGAGAGGCCAGAAAATGACGGGCGAGAGAGCGCAATGGCAATGTCACAACGACACGGTCACTGGAGGCCGGCATGGGCCTATGGGCCTATCGGGCGCCAATGGGCCTAAAACATGAGCGCCGTGCGTTCTGCTTGCTGTTTTTCAACTTTTAAAAGCAGCATATCCTCTACTGTTGCCTGCTTGATCATCATGCACGTTTATGAGGTTCTAGCCTTAGTCCTTACATGCCTTTAATGTCGTTATAAGGGTGAAACAGAAATGGAATATTAATCGAAAGAGATGCTCCGTGATAGCAAGCTTTGAGGAAAGAATTTACTTCAGTCTCCTGCTTGTCACGTCTTAGGCCCAGAAAGTACATGTGCTTCTCAAAACGTAATCAGTTCAAGTATACAAGCATGTGCAAGGCGCACACCGATAGTGCGAACGAATTATTTCCTTCTTTTAGGAATGCAAGTATGGACGATTATAGGCAATCCGGAACTGAAAAATATCGCTATCCCACAGAATGTCATTTATCCGCCAAAGGAACGCATTATGATTGTGAAGAATAATCCGAAGGTTCCTCGCCCCAAGATTGAAAAGTTGAAGAAGATCTGTCCTTTCTGTGAGATAGAAGCCTATTCTCTCCCAAGTATGTTTCTATGTTACTACAGTTGGAAACTGCCCTCTAGAAAGATGATTACACATACACATAACCAAATAGATTCAGCACAAATAGAACCGACATAGGAAGGTGAACATCTCCGGGTTCTGCTGAGGTTGACCCGGTTAATCTAGGTAAAGCAGAGTAAGGCGCATACAACATCATCCCACAGCTCAGGCAATGACAAGGGAACTTAACCTTCCCAAGCAGTCGGCTATATTTTCAGTTTTTCGGCTTAGCAGCTCTGTTAATGTTTGACTTTAGTAAGCTTCATATTTTTCAAGGTTTTTTGATCACCTTGAGCACCTTCCAGGGAGTTCAAAAATAATTAAATTATGGGGAGTGTTCACGGACTTGCTTATGACTGCGACGGAGTAGGCAGTTACCGGTTTAGGCAGTCGTATAGAGCCTAACAATTCGCCAGGCGAAGGCGTTCTTACGTAGGTACGATGTGACATGATGTGAGCTCGTCTGCACTAGTCGTTGACGCCATGGAGCGGACAACCATAGATAGAAATACTCGCCATATCCCAGATATGAAGGGGGTTTCGCCGAATACTTCGTATGAAAAAGGCGGCGGCTGCTCCGGCGAGATATTTGTTTTTGGAACGATTGCAATCATGTTGTTGTCCTGCTCAACGTAGAATGATAGTTGTCTCGAATGCACTGAAAACATTCCACATCCTGTCCAAACGGTGTACGCAGTCAGCCCCCCCCCCCATTCATATGGGGTGCAGTTTCGTGCCGGTCAAAACGTTTGCACGTAGAACGCCTTGATAAGACACGAGCACTGCACTGCATTACACAGAACTGTTTCCATGACAGGGCACTGATAGCACAAAAAATCTCCAATGTACCTCTCAAAGCTCCTTGCCTGATCCAGTAATTGCTACAGCGCTCGCAACCAATTCCGTGAACGCTCACCTTCAATTGTAGGATATGGACTCTATCCTCTATATGCCATTCACCTTCAGCCCGTTCTCTGCCATAAACGATGTATTTACAGCGGCGTACACGAAATAGCCACCCTTTCAGAAAGTTGTCCCCCAGAAAGGCGCAGATACAGTGATAAAGAACTGGTTCGACGATGTGCTGGTGCAGAGGTCATCAAGCCACAAAAAGGATTCTATCTGACCGTGTCGTCAGAAGAGGTGACAGAGGAAGAGATGAACAAACTATGCTTCAACGCAGTCTACATGGAAATCTGCATTGAAATCAAGCGTTCCAATTTCAAACGATTACGATGTCCTCGTCTTAAAATACTTCGATCGTGTCGACCAGGTAACGCGCTGACTATTCCCCTGCATTTTCATGTCAAAAATAAACTTTTTCTTTCTAGGGCGACCAGCTTTTCGAATCGTGGGTAATCGGCAGTTCAGGGAATTGTTCATTCCTCGTTCAATTCAAACTACACAATACGAGCTTCTCTTTGAAATCACGGAAAATACACTTCTCTCAACAACGATCATCGAAAAGCTGAGACAAATTTGCAAAAGCTGCAACATTGAAGCCAAACCTTCGCCAAAACCTCCAGGAGAACATTGGCCCAAGAAGCCCTTACCTGACCGCTCTCCAGTGCAACCACCTCAGGAAGGTGAGCATAATTAGATTGTTTAGAGAGGATGTTCAAAAAATGGAGCAAAGGGTCACGGCAGGACAAGATCGTGAGACCTTTCTGTGCCACTTCGAACGCACTTTAGCGCTAATCCGCCCACCGTAGGGTCTGCAACTGGTGGTGGACCTCCCCTCCATCCAAGGAGGCAGGGGTAGCTGATTGGCTACACTTATGTCTGCACTTCGGAGAACTGCAAGTCTAATTTCCGCCGGGGCAAAACCATGCCTTGCGAAAATTGCAAAAACCGTGATGAAATAAGCATCAAACCCAGACTGACACGCCGCTCTATCGAACCACGACAGAAATTAGAAGTTGCGGGAAAATCGGTTTTGCGGTTCGTGGTGGGAAGAATAATTCAGTAGCCATACAGCGTCTTGCTTGATTTTTGAGAAGAGCGCGCTTAGAGGTAGATTCTATACCAGTGAGTTGTGGTGAGCAGAAGAGGGCTTGAGTCATCGTCTTACACTGTTCGACTATTTGAAAATCAGGTCATGTTTTGCTGACACTTTTCCTCACCTCCACTTCGGCAAAAATTAAAGACAAAGATTGTAGATTGCGGATAGTGATGATCACTTACAAAGTTACAGTCACTAAATGATGGTCAAGAAAGAAAAAGCGAAGAAAAACAAGAAGAACACCCTAAGTGGAGACCTGGTAGCCCCTCTACACAAGTTCTCCGGACCTGCTCGTTTTATGCCTGCAAACAGATATCCTGCCACATCTAGCTCAATAATCGTTTCTGCGCATTGTTCACTAATGTATCATCTGATAAGGAAAAAAAGCGGAAAGGTGTAGGTCGCACAAGTAGGGAGCAGCCGTCACTTACTGTGGAGCCGAAAGTTGGATCTTGGAGATCTGAAGGGCAGACTACATATACAAGGAAGGACGCCTTTTGAGCGCCGAGACTAACGGAGTTTTCTCGAGGGCGGGGACCACCTTTAAAGGCAGTGTGCACGATCGCTGGGGGAGGGGGGGTGGTTGTCACCAACGTCACTGGTGGAAGATGTGGCCAAACGCCCTCTCAGTCTTTCCACCAATGACGCTGGCAACACCCACTCGCGTTCAGCAAGCGATTCCACCGTCTTTGAACAAAGCCATATACATATGATATTCATCTTGAGGAGGTCCTGAGGCAAGTATTCAGCACATGCTGTGATTCAGGGGTCTGAACGCCAGCGCCTGTGGCCAGGCGGTAGGCGGTTTCGGGTCGAACGGATGTGATATTCCTTCACTAATTATCAAACTGTCCCAGAGGGCAGACCCAGATCTACCAACGGAGAAAAAAATTCAGTTGAAATCTGGGCTGACCTTTGAAGAGTGAGGCAGTTGAAGACGGAGATTGTCAGAAGAACTACTACTCTAGCTTAAAATTGATACTGAAGGTACTGAAGTTGCGGTGTCGGGGACTTCTTTCTGGAACTTAACTAAACCCAATTCCGATCAAAAACGTTTCGTTTCACGAAATGCACTCGAAGTGAATTGTAACTTTACTGAAATCAAGCTGTTGCTAATGCTGATTTTTACAGAGCCTGCAAAACCTAAACCTACCAAGACATGCCAACTAAAAGCCCGGGAGTATGATGGCAACGACATAGTTCGTCTCTGTGCTGGCAAGCAAATCATCAAACCACAGAAGGGATTCACCCTAGAAGTGTCGTCTACGGATGTTAATGAACAAGAGATGAACGACTTATGCGCTAATGCTGTGTACATGGAAATCTGCATAACCATTGAAAATTCAGATTTTAAAAAGCTACACTGCCCTTTCCTCGAAGAGCTTAGGCCTTGTCAGAAAGGTGGTGTTACATACTATCCGTGCTAAAATTTTCTTTCAGAAATTATTTCTTTCTAGGAAAACCGGCTTTAAAAATTGTAAACAATCTTGAATTCGAGGAGCTGGTTATATCGGACACACTTCCGATTCCCCAAAAACGAGCTCATCTTCGAAATTACGGAAAATCCAAATCTTCCGACTAAACTCGTCGAAAAGCTGAAAGAGATTTGTAAAAACTGCGAAGTTACCGCCAATCTAGGTATGTTATTACTTTAGACAGGCCGATCGTTAAGGTCAACACGTTCCTGAATAGTTTTCAGGACTTATTAGCTAGGAAGGAGGTGTTCAGGCATGTACCACTGTAAACCTCCCCATACTTGTGAGAAAAAAGTTGCTTCACCACTTCCGGCGCCTTCCCTTCGCCAAAAATAGACGAATTTACTACGGCATCAACACTTTTACACAGATACGTATCTCTTTTGCGCGTAATGAGGGTACTATATGTTTCGCTGAGGTGACCTTTCTGGCACTAAAAATGTCGAAAAGGTGGGTGAATTACTTTCTAATGGCAATTTTGATGACTTTATACTGTGTAGCAGTTATTGTTAAGTCATTCAAAGTGTGCGAAATTAGATAATTTGTATGATAGCTTGATGTTCTCCATATGTTCGAAACTCCACTCACATTACTCGATATGCGCCTTAAAGGCAGTTGGCACGATAAATCGCTATACAGATGTAGGATTTATACGACTGGCTTAACAGAATTCCGTGACCTCGGACAGGCGCTCCGTGGCGCCTTTTCCAAGGAGGGTACCCCTATAACGCCCTATCGAGCAACAACATTCCGTCCCAAACGCCTTCCTCGCCCGCCCGCCCACAAACGGACGACCGTTCCTGACGCTCGTATTCATTCATTTGCTAAGCAAATTATGAAGCAAAGGGATTGGTATGAAGCGGCCGTGATGCTGCATGCATATATGGGTACACATATGCAGCCGTATCTTCGGTAGCGGTGATTGGCAAGATGCGTACGGGAAACTCGTCCGAAATCGATTTTCAAGTCACTGGAACGGAGGCTTTTTCTTCGCGGATTTTGACCGTTTCACTCCGTTCTTTCGCCATTTCCCCACTACATAGCACCATAGCATTTTAGGTCGAGTGGGAAACCATCGAGCCAACTGCCTTTAAGGCTTTTTTATACGGTGAACCTTGCAGCTGTGATTAGGCGTGCAGTCGGGAGCATGGCGTGCAGTGCGACTGTGGCGCAAATATCAAATATCGAATGCGTTGAGCAGTTTGGCACTTGTAGAAGTCATTCGAAAGTGAACGACAGTTTTAGTTTTCTACGATAAC